TCTACGTCGTAATGTAGGGCGAAAGTTATTTTTAGTCTTTCTCTCCCTTTCCCTTTTCCACCTTTTGCATGGCGATTTTTGGTGTAGAATCGAAGAAAGGGGGTTGAAAATACATTTTCTGCCAGGTTTTGGTGAATATTCATGATTTTGAGAGGTCGGTTAGGTTGAAATGTAGGGCCGAAAATTGCATGTTTACTTGTCCCTACTTCTAGCTTGTGTATTTGAAGTTTTTCATGGTAAACCTCATACATGCTTTTGTGCAAGAGTTTGCCATATGTTGCTCCACTATGTTGCTCCATCTGTGGCAGAAAGTAGGCAAGCCTACAAGTCCTAACTCATCCAAAAGCTCCTCCATTTTATATACAAGAAGTAAAATGTAGCCATTGCGCATGTAACTAAAAGGCGCCGATTTTTTCGGCGACTTTTTCGGCGCGTGGCTTAACGGCGACTCTCGTGTTGTGAAAGTCGCGGGTCGCCGATAAGGTAGTACGACGAAAAAGTCGCCGATCGGCGCCTTTTTCGTCGTGCTGGCTTAACGGCGACTCTCGCGTTGTATCTAGAAACACGCCGATCTAAATGGACGCTTTCAGCCACCATAGTTCCTTGCATAAAACTTTTTCGCCATAAGGTCTGCTATTGAGTCAACTGGTGTAGTTTCGATTCACTGTTTGTACGTAACAAGGAGTAAGGTCGCCTGTCCAACCTCATGGGTTTTCTCCGGGTCCTTCGGTTTCATTCCACTGCTTGGAGTCCTTACGCGTAAGCGAAATATTATAAAAAATTGAACCATATTATTTAGTCCCGTTGCGTGAATCAATGAAATAAAATTGAACCATATTTTAGTCCTGAAATGACATGGTTTGTGTCAAGTTAAACACCATTTCTCACCCGGTCTCTCGCCGGCGAAAACAAGTATGAAAGGCATGGTTTAGACACCGAGCCCCCTATAGCACAGCCCACGAGGCGTTACACAAAATATAGAGATATCTGAGGCATGTCCAAGGGAGGAACGTGTTTATTTGTCCTGGCTAGACCATCCCACTGATAGTATAGATCAAAAATGGGAGTCAATATATAAATTGGTCATAAGCCCTTGGTATAAAGAGTCCAACATCACGGTTTAACTTGAGTTTAAGACGTTTTATATTGATGGCCTTAAGAAGTTTATTGGTTTTCTTCTGGTGGTGATTTAATGCAAGGCCAAGGGTTCTTGTTTGGCCCCATAGAATTGTATGATGTGTATTGTCAAGGGGATACTTCGTTTCCCCTAAATATTTTTCGTTGCAAGAGCACGTTATTTCATATATATATCCTTTGGACAGTGTCTGTGGGGGTTAGGGGTGGGGTGGGGTGCTTGCTGTGGTGTACCATTATCTTTTACTATTATTCTACCGCTTGCGAAGGTGACGTCTATGTCAATTTCTGGTTTCAACAACCTTCTAATCTGATGTGAGCTTATACCGTGAAACGTAGTAGTTATTCCGATGCCAGAATGGCCAGTCTTTGGCGTCCCAGGCTTATGTTGGTTCTCTATGGTGCAGGTGATGATACCGTTAACCAGTTGAGCGGGGTGGATGTCTGTAATGCATCTGTTTCAGAACTGATCATATATACTTCTGACAGTGCGACAGGGGGTTACCCATAGGTAGGCTATCGAAACCTTTAACTACCATTCGTAATTTCTACTTTTCGCCTCTTCAAAACACGAAAGTCGAAAAGTAGAAGTTACGACAAAATGTGGGGGACAACACGCTATACAAGCCAAAATCTACTCGAAAATAGGAAATTTAGAAATAACACACAGCGATAATAGCGCCCCTCGTTTTTTCCGAATTTCTTATTTTCGATTTGCATTTTGGCTTGTATACCGTCTTGTCGACTTTCGACTTAGTCATATTTTTGTATTTATTGATGTCAGTAAGAAGGCGCCAACACGCTATACAGGCCAAAATCAACTCGAAAATAGGAAATTAAGAAATAACACACCGCGATAATAGCGCCCCTCGTTTTTTCCAAATTTCTTATTTTCGACTTGCATTTTGGCTTGTATACCGTCTTGTCGACTTATTGTATTTATTGATGTCAGTAAGAAGGCGCCAACACGCATACCAAGCCAAAATGCAACTCGAAAATGGGAAATTAGGAAATTAACACACTGCGCTATTAGCGACCTTTGATCTGTCGTACTGTCGACTTTTCGACTTTCGCCTCGGAAGTTGTTGTAGTCTCAATTTGTCATTCATCACCTCATCTAAAGTAAGCAGCAGTTATACAGTAACGTGACAGTTAAATGATATTAGAGACTTTTGGCAAGTGGAATTTTCCCATCCGTATCACGTATCCGTATCATCACGTGATACGTGGCGTCAATGTAGTTTTTAGAGTTTTGGCAGAATTTTCGCGCCGCGTACGTATGGCTAGCTGAGCTGAGGTCAATTACAAGGAGTAAAGTCGCTCGACAGTCGCTGAGTTATTTAAAATTTAAAAAACATTTAGTGTCGAATCTTATTAAAAAAATCTTCGACTTCAACTCGACAGCAATTTTTGGTTTCTCTAATGTATGATTTCAAAAAGTTTATACCCCTTTTACAGATTTGCAAGGTCCCCGCTCCCTAAATTCAGTACATAGATCAACCAGCATGCAGACAGACAGGAAAAATATGAAAATTCCGCGAAAAGCTCATCAAAAGTAATAATTAAATTCCAGTCTTTACCATGGTTAAAATCACACCAAATATACACATTCGTGTTCTAGGATACATATAGATTCATAAAAACGCTACGGCACAACATTTCAGCGTCTAAAAGTAGCAAAAAAGACGACGATGTTATACGGACCTTTTCCGTATGAAAGATGTTCGATACGTGCTGCCGTATCCGTGTGTCGTATCACGTATGAGAAATACACACGCAGTGATGACGTCACACACAAAATCAATACGGACACGCGATACGGACCAGGGATTTAAGTTTGCCAAAAGTCTCTATTTTCAGTGGTAAGGCTGGTGTCCAGTAGGGTCTCTAGATTATTGATTCTCCTTTTAAAAGTATTTGGAGTGTCTGGGCTGTGGGAAAATTAGTCAGCGGATCTACTACATCATAGGAAAGGATGGAGCCGGCTGTTGGGATTGCCGTCAGTTTATGACAGAAATCGCTTGAGACTCCGCTGATTTTCCAAGTGGTGCCAGAAGACGGGATAAGAATTTTGCAGTATTGTAATATACTGAATCTCGGGAACAAACCGATAAGTGAGCCTTGACCGGATTCTTGTGAATTTTAATGATGGAACGTGTATATGGTTGTCTGGGGTGAGAGGGATTCAGAGTCCTTCTGTAACCTGTTTTGTTTTTGTCTTTCAATGAGGTGAGAAGTTTTCGCAGCTTGGTTTCATGGGTGGCTTTGGGATCTTTGCTTATGCTTTGGTAGGTTTCGGCGTCTTAGAATAGGCTGTTAATCACTGTAGCTTTACCTTTGTCTGATTATGATATTGGTGTCAGCTTTCAATTCTTTCAGTGTTAACTGTTGGAATTTGGAGAGGTTGTTGCTTTGAGATTTGGTTTTCAAAAGAATATTGGCGTTGCACGGTAGGAGCAGAACAGTAGGTCGTTAACTCATTTCCTTTCAGAATCTGTCGGTCACTCCAATAGAACTTTTTATCTTTATCTTGTTCTCAACCCAAAATGTGGGCACCGGGACATTTGTCACATTTCGCGTCCGGTAAATGTGGTTCTGCCCATGACCACAATGATTGCTTCATGCCAAATTTTAAAACAATTAACTTAAAAACTATAGCCTCTATACATTTTTTTTTTGCAAATGACTCCTTAACGGTAAGTCATGGAACGCTGAACATGACTAGGGTTCGTCCCCCATGACCGCAATGCTTACACTTCTAGTACGGAAGGCTGCGGACCGCTGAACATCGATAGATTTCGTGCTGTCATGACCACCATGCTTCATACCAAAAGATCCGCCAAAATCTATATCCCGTATCTGACTGGGCAGAGTGGCGAAATAATACGCCAACACTGAAATGTGGGCTAATACCGCAAAATAACACAATTTCTGTGTCCAGTGAGAAATGCAGCTCGGCAAATGTAGGGGTTGGGGCCTCCGGCGTCTGCGGAATCGAATCTTCGCAAGCTCGACCGATATATACTCAATATCGCAACTCATTATATCTACTTACTTACAAGGGACACATAACTGTAACTTGGAGGTTACAAGTTATTGGGTATAATCTTCGCATGATATATAGCATGCAAAGCTGCTTACATGGTGAACAAATGCGTTTTGGTCTACCTTTTGAAGTCTGTTCCTTACCTCATCTTTATGAATGGAAAGTGCACGTCTAATATCGTGTTTTGGTCATCATGGGTGATGCATGTAAAGTCTTTATATTGTAGCCTTCTGACAAAATAATGCTAAACTTGTCTAAATCTACATCATATGTCGTGCATGGTTTTCCACTGAAAATTGAATATCTAATAACTAAAGAAGTAAAATTTAGCAGTGCTATGTGCCAAATGACCTTTGAAAACGTAATTGAAAAATCCACAACACGCAGCCACTTCACATTGTCAAAAAGCTTTAATCAGAAATATTTAAGACATCAAGAACAGTAAGACGTGAAACCTCGTTTCATTTATGATAACAAAATGCATTTATGGAGAATTCTCAGGCTGGGATGTTCCTACTTGATAGAAGAAGAAATAACTTCCAATTTCATGAAATGAATAAGGCAATATGTATACCAATTAATGATTACATCTGTAGCCGATAATTGGCAATAGACTGCGTAATCATGGATAACAAACAGTATTTTTTAAAAAGGAATCTGAAGTGCTGGGGGTTCAGGGAGGTTGTCTTGCTCTATTCTCAAAACAATTCGAATTTCTGGACTTTTGTTTCTTTGACCCATCTGAATGACTAAGCAATTTTCCTGGTGGTCTGTGTTCTTAATGCTAATAAAAACACAAAAGCTGCAAATTTTATATATTTAATATATAATTTTATTCTGATAAATTTTTGTTTCATCTTAACAAAGAACAACATATAATTTTAATGGACAAATTTGATATGAAAAATAATTATATCTAACATATATTCAAGAAAAACAATTTTTGACATTTATATTTTGTAAATCTTTGTTTCAAATCGAATGGACAATTAACTGAAATATTTGTTAAGTTTTTAAACAATTTAAGCATGCATATTTTGTATGCATCTAATTATTCATATTTTAACTTAAAGGGGCGTTATTGTTGCTTTTGAGGTCTTGATCATTTGGTTAAAATGAATTTTGTTTATTCAGTTAGGACAATTTCATTAAAATCTAATATTAAAATCATTAAAAAATATGCTTCTGTTTTATTTCTGATATTGACAACCCACATATTTTCTTTGAAGTGTGTGTTCAGAACATGTGAATGTATCACCCAATCAAATTACCTGTATTGGTAAACATATCAGAAAGAAACCAAATTGTAATCTTATTTTAATTAGATTACAGTTAGATCTACATCATGCATACTCCAGTTAGATTGTATGCCAGAGCTGGGATTTTCAGGAATTAAGAGTGTTTAATATGACATTAAAGATACATTATGTAAGATTTAGATAAAGAGCTGACCATTCTTTCTATAAAAGCATAAACATAGATAATGTAAAATGAAAATATTGAAAACTTCATTCAAATTACTTCATTCTGAGCCAAGTTATCACTGTTTGTAGTTTTGACAAGATGTATGCATAGTGGTAACCAGGGCACTGGTATATTCAAGACATAGCCCCGCTCTCTAACATTTTTAAATTAAATTTTTAAATGGCGAACCGTTCTAATCTAGTTAGAATCTCGAGTATCCGATGGCATCGAGAATTGATTATGGTCTTGTTTTGTTAATAAATGTCTAATTAATAGTTTATATAACATTTCAGGCCTAGAAAAAGACCTGCAATAGACAGATTTAGCTCTTGCATAATGTATGTTTAATATTACGGCACATTTATTTTTTTGGTGAGACTGATAATGCCTCTTTAAATTCATTGAATAGATCAACAATTTCCTTTTATAAAACATAGATTTAAATTCCCCTTTTGAAACTACATCGACTTCATTTTAATGCTGTATAAAGTATGAAAAAGGTCATCATAGAGTGAACAGTTATAATAGCATTTCACAAATAAAAACAAAACAAAATCCAATAACAGACATAGAATTTGTGATTATAATATTTTCTTGTAATAGTCATATGTCAAGTACCTTCATTTCACTACTTTTCCACCTCAAATTTTAATCTTTCTTTTTTGAGAACAAGACTGTTCTTTAATCTGTATTTTGTAAAATCTAGTTTTGTTCATTAATTTGAATGTATTAAGGGTAACAAATATATTCTTATACTATGCAAAAAACTTAATTTTTCACTGAAAGTTAACTGTTTAATTAAACTATTAAATTGTGAAATTTGAGGTAAAATTTAATATTAAATGCAGGTACCTTGACAACATAAGATATATATATATATATAACTTGGCCTGAGTAATAACAAATTTCAATATAATTTTGTACTCATGCTATGAGTCAAATACACCACACTGAAGATAATATATGTATATCAGCAAAAACCACTGGTAGGCGTATAATAAAATGAATCCTATTGTTACTATACATGTACATATAAAATACAATAAAAGTTTGTTACCTGTGCAGAACAGTAGGACATTAAACCCCATTTCATTTCATTTTGTTACCTGCGTGAACTCCTCAAATGAGAAGTGGTCGTAGGTGTTCTAGAAGGAGTAAGCAGACAAAGTTTGTGCACTAAATTACACAGTTAGAATGGGAATCAGTTTATTGTAGCACCAGTGGTATTAAAGCTGAACTCTTGATTACAAAACTATGGAAATAATTAAATAAAAAAAAGAAAACCCCCTAAACAGTCGCCATACTTGTTTTCAATTTGCAGAACAAACATGGCGACTGATGACGGGTATAAGAAGATAGGCAGACTACGCCTACATCTATTATATGCCCTGTCAAGCACAGTGTCCACATCCGGCTAGCTGTATTTCAACTACCACACGCTCGACTGGTTGAGTTTTTTTCCACTATCAGCTTACTGAAAATATTATTGATACACAATTATTATGTCTGATCACTCAGGCACATATTATTTTACTAATTAGATGAACTAAGCAAAAACTGTCTTGCTCCAAACAATACCCATGCCAACCCATTCTTATTTTTTGAAATGTTTTGCACAACAACCTAGAAACACAAGGTAAATACTGGATGTGGGTGTGACCTGCCTTTGTTTTTATACGCCATCACCATTCGCCATATTTGTTCTACGAATTGAAAACAAGTATGGCGACTGTTTAGAGTGATAACTTTTTTTATTTAATTATTTCTGTAGTTTTGTAATTGGAGTTCAGCTTTAATTAAAATCTTGTCGAAACCATGCTGCTCTTAACAATTATTTAAACTATCTTAGAAGTCATAATGCATGTTATATATTATGTAGCATGGTTTTTGTCAAGAAAGCAAAAAGAAAACATTGCAACAAAAAAAAAAGTAAAATAAAATTTGCAAAACAAAATATTTGACAGAAATATATATTGAGTATTTAAAATCAAGCAAGCTGTGAGTATAAAGTAGTCATATTTATAAATGTGTGTGGTTTTGATATGAAATCACAAATTTATAAGCATGTACAAAGATTGTCTATATGAATAATAAAAATATATATAAATTCCTTTTATATACTGAGTAATAACAAGGTTATCTCGGGTATGGTTTTGTTAAATCATTTAATTTACTATCAGAGACTTTAAATCTCTGTACTAGTCAATAAAAAACTAGCAGTCTATTGTTTTCTCAAATATTCTGCTCTATTTGAATATACTAGGTTTAGAAAAACACAAGTATTGTTAATTTATGTATGGTCCTTTACAGAAGACATGCAACTCACATTTATATGCATATGAAGGTGCATCTGGACAAATATGGTAGTAACTTTGTTCATTTAATTGAAATATAATTGTAGGTTCATATATGGCCATAGGAAGTAAAGAGCAATCACCGAGTTCTTCTGGTTTTCTAGAGAAGAATACTTATACAATTGGACTATTTCCTACCTAGAGAGGCAAAGACCAGCGTTGCATATAAAATTATCTACTTATATTTTTTTTTAAGAAATAAAAAGAAGAACAGAAATGTGTATATATCTAAAATATAGCTATTCTATAAAATAAAGCACTTTAGGTTTCTATATGGTTACAAAAAAAGAAAATTAATAATTTTGGTGTTAAGATATGAAAGATGGAAAAAGAAAACATTTTTACAATAAGTAAATTCAATTTCAATTGATCTTTCTAAAATACTGATAAAATATTATAGATTTCACCCCTCTTCCCCCCTTAACCAATTACCTTAAGGGTTTTTAAATGCACCTTAATGTCTAAGCACTGTTGGTGGTGTTTAATAACATTATTCAAAATTTGATTATTTTTTTTTCAAAAAATCCATAACATTTAAAGATCAGTATTTTAATTGATACACAAATGAATTAACTTCATCAAGATATATATTAAAAGCAATGTACATGGCACAGTAGGTACGGAAGCTTGAAATATTCACAAAGGAAGCATTCTGACAAATATATTTCTTTGGTAAGTATAAAAATTCTGATACTGTTTTCAAAGTGTCAAGCAAAGGTGCCAAAAGTGGTATAACATGGCCAAAGCTATGGTAACCGTGGTATATCAAGGTCCAAGCTATGGTAATCAAGGTCAAAGCTATGGTATTTTAAGGTTAAAACAATGGTGAATGGTGTGTGTGTCAAATAGATTTATTTAACGTCCGCTTCCACTAAAGTGGTATCGCAGAAAATCTATGGTGTGTCATGGTCACAACTTTTATAGCAATGGCATGCCAAGGTAAATGCTATGATAACCAAGGGCTTTGTGAGGCCACATCAACACTTCTATAGTAACAAGGACATCCAAGGATAAGAGAAACGTTTCTTTTCAAATATTAAGAATATTCTTCTATAAAATGCATTATCTGAGATACCAAATACAGACAGAAAAAAAAAACCTATTTATATACAAATATACAATTATTAATAGATCTGATGTACAATATGAAGTTTGATAAAAGATTTTTGGTGTGGAATAAAAATTAAGGGTTTGACGGTGCAATTATGAGGGTATTTAACACAACAAATTATTTCACAGTAAATATATTTTCAAAATGTATGCCTCCATTCTAGATGCTCTGTGTTGTGCTGTAACAGGTGATGATCAGCTAATCAATAATTATGATTCTTAACAAACATAAACCAGTATCTGATCATTTTCACCTGACATACACAGTAAAAATATTAGCTTTGTTAATTTCACAATGAAATAAATGGCTTCAGGGTTTTGAAATTATGTGTAACTTGAATGTCGCCCATGTACTTAGTGGAGGTTGAAGGACTGTAAAATTGCACCGTCTCCTTGCTCTCTTAATAGATGATTGCTAATCTTAAATACAACATGAAGCATGTAAAATGTGGGCTTACAGCTTCTCACATCTGATACAGTACGAGTCAAATCTGTTTGAACCAAAGATATTCATAAATGTATAAGGCAACTGATCTTAGCATGTTTTACATTACAATAAAAAATATAAAAAGAAAAAAAATCCCCTGATAATAACTCATAAACTTTTAAATATAATTCATAACTTTTTTAATATAATTCTTAACATTTTTACAAATATCACATAAATAGAACACATCTGTATCTTAATCATCATGTATACAAGATCCAAGCCAATTTTGAGGAATCTTTACAGAAATGAATAAGATACGATTTTAAGTCAAAACATTTTACTTCCATTTCTAACAGAACCATTAACATTTTCTTAATAGAACAAGTGCAATAACCTATTATAGGAAGATCCATGCAAACTAATATTGTTCACTATGAGACAGATTTGATATCTTCCATATGACGAGTAACTTACAAAATTATAAATAAACTCTTAGACCTTTGTCATGGAAATTCCAAAATCAAATGTTTTATTTTGTGTCATTCAATCTTAATCTAAGATTAACATTCATATATTTTCCAAATAAAATCTTTTTAAATAACAATAATTTTTTTCATTATCTTCAGCATTAGAGGTAAATAAACCATAGCTAGCAGTCAATATACATTTGTTGTTTCAGTAATTAACATCCACCATTTTTTTTTTTATATATTATTTACTCTTTACCGCTGTTGAATAATTATTCTTTTCTTAAATCCAACATTATCACAAATATATCTTGTTAATCAGTAAAAATACAGCCATGAACTGTTAAAACTAAATTAACAGTCAGTTTGTTACAACAAACCATTCTACCGATTTGATCTGATCTGATCGGGTTTTACAAAATCAGAGAATAATGCTTATGAGAAATAGCTATATTATGTCAATGTTTGCATACATTACAGATTGTTTTGGTTCACGGTTATAAAAAGTTTATATATACATAGAATTGCGTAGTTTTTTATTGAAATAAAATATACGGTGAATAAATACATATGTATTATACATTAAATAAATATGGACTTACCTACAATTACAATTGCGTAGTTTTTGTATTGAAATAAAACATAGTGGATACATATATATTTAGTATAAATACATTAAATAGATACGGACTTTGGGTAAGATATGTGTTTATGTGTACAAGTACATTTATGTGATATGGTTATGAATTATAGGGTACATACTAGTATTACTACTTAAAAGATACATCAGCCAGATTAACCTTCAGGTGAACAGTTAATACCAATTAAAGTTCAGATTACATGCAACTCAATTGATTGCTTTTATTCTTTTAAAATGCAGCTGAATGAGCTTGACGAAAGCCTAGGGAACAGTATAAAACTCACTCAATTTGGCCTTCATTTTGCTCTTATTTCAAAACTTTGTTGGTTTAAAATATATGAAGTGTACTGCAGTTTAAAGTAACAAAAAGAAATGAAAAGAAGTTGGACTAGTTTGCTCTCAACCCATGCAGCAGGTAAATTCATTCAACCGAAGGTCATCACGCTCTTAGCTTTAAAATAATTAGGGTTATCACATAAAAATATGTTGGACTAGATTTAAATTAAATTTTGATTTTAAGCTCTTGATATCTCATTTTATTTCAGGGAAAATTCACTTCATACCTTAAAGATGATAAACAAAATTATGCAATTTTCTGAAAGGATGACAACAATGCGATTTAAGTTTTGTATTCGTAACTTATTTCATGCAGAGTTTGATCCAGTTCAAAATAACTTATGTCTGATTTGAACAGTTACTATGAAAAATAATTCAATTCAGACATAAAAGATAGGTTGTTAGGCCACAAACCATGTCCATTAAAGGCAGCTAAGTTGTCCGGGCACTTGACAAAGTTTGTCAAATTGTGAATCTTTAGGTAAAAAAGGGCCATAACTAGGGGAGTGCATCAGAGGCCATTTCTGAAGAAAATTTACTCTATTAAATGTATAGGCTCTCTCCTTGGCTCCCTCCTGTATAGGCTCTGCAGAAATAGTTGAAATTCACTATCCTTCTTTGTTTCACTAATTTGAACAATGACCATAAATGTTGTTAGATTCTATAAAGCCATAGCTCCATTAACAGAAATTGTTGAAATTCAAACAGACTGGATGATAACTTTCTTGAATAAGTGCATTCACAAGATTCTACAAAGTGAAACTAGGGCCTTAACTTAAAAAGTAATTGTTGAAATTTGATAGGATTCTTCATTAAATTCACTAATTTGAATAAAGAATAATTTCAAAAAGATTGAATGATAACTTTGTCTATGCACAGGGATGGCGGCAATACATGGCCACAGTTCACTGCAGGTGTACAAAAATAAATAAATTTCTTGACTTGCTGTTCTGATTGTGAACACGACAGTCATGATTTCAGACAGAGAGTCCAGACTAGCAACTCACATTTATTCTTAAAACGGTTGTCCTTACTACATGTAGATAGTTACATTTAATCTTATAACGGTTGCCCTGACTAGATAGTCACAATTAATCTTAACATGGTTGTCCTGACTAGATAGTTACATTTAATGTTAAAACCGTTGTGTTTTCTTTTGCTTTCTTGCAAAATCAAACATGAGAATATGTTATTCCATATAAATTATGTAATAGAATACTCAATATAAATTTGTCCTTCCCACACCATTAATTTTGGGGAACACTTTGTTTACTTGAAAATTGTGTAATATAAGCATTATACCAATATTCATAGTATTACAGTATCCTGGTACCTTGTTACATGTATTATAACATATCTATATTTATATATATATAGACTAACAATAAACAATATGTTTTAACAAGCATGCAACATGGCAAAACATCATTCTAATTCTGTATCAAGAGCTCTGTGCTGTGCCGATAAATTTGTCACTTTGTATCATGATGTCTGTCTCGTCTGCTTCGGGCACTTGTTGTGTTTTTGTATAAATATGTTGTGAATTGTTCCGTTTGTGTCTCTGTTGGTAATCTAGATCCAACTTATCTATGGACGTCACAGAATTCATCATTTGTCCAACCTGAAAATAAAACATATAAAAATACAGAATCTCTTTCTTTTTGAAATGGTTAAAATCTCAATAGAATATTTTCAAAATGAATAGATATAGCTATTTGTCTTTATATATAAAATTGGCATATACTGGACAATTCTGAGTTCTGACTACAGTCGAAAGGGGGTATTATATACATATACATATGCGGATCTTGATTTATACCAGCCCTGTGAGTAGAAACCAAGTTTGAAAATAATTTCTCAGGCAATTTTACCTGAGAACTGTAACTACTCATAGACTGCAGCCTCCATTCAAACGTATGTAACAATAAGTAACAAGAAAATAAGACACGTACCGTTAAATTGGATTGCATATTTTCTGATTTATTTTTTTTCTGTAAGATCAACCACACCGTTAAGAAAAATAGTAATCCTACAACTTTTAACACAGCTGCCATACCTGTAAAATAAGTTATTTAATACATGCCCTATATTTTAAAAAAACAAAACAAAAAGATTTATTTCTGTAAGTTTGATAAGGTAGATGTTTTTATCCAAGGTAGTCATTATTAAAGGGGCATTATGGGAGATTAGTTAAAGAGCTTGCAGGTCATTATAATAGTTAAAGATAGGTTGCCAGGCAACTAAACATACGCCCACAGCAGCTAAATCGTCCGGGCAGTCAATAAGTGTTGTCGCATATTTTTACTTTTTTTGGTAATGAAACATTTATTAATACACTAAAACTTTTTCAAAGTGATCAAGGGACATAACTTTGGCAGTAATTAATCGGAAATCTTTGAAAATCAATAGGATTCTTCGTCTCATGACCTCAAACATTGTGTATAAATTTAAAGTCAATTAGATATCAACTTCAGCCTCTAGAGCATCAACAAGATTTTTTTCAGTGATCAAGGGCCATAACTCTGGCAGTAATTATCGAAAATAACTGAAAATGAATAGACTTCTTTGTCTCATGACCTTAAACACTGTGTATAAATTTAAAGTCAATCGGATATTAACTTTAGCCTCTAGAGCATCCACAAGATTTTTCAAAGTGATCAAGGGCCATAACTCTGGCAGTAATTATCGTAAATTGATGGAAAATCAATTGGCTTTTTCGTCTGATGACCTTAAGCACTGTGTATAAATTAAAAGTCAATCGGATATTCACTTTGGCATCCAGTGCGTCCACAAGATTTTTTGAAGTGATCAAGGGCCATAACTCTGGCAGTAATTATCAAAAATCGCTGAAAATGAATAGACTTATTCGTCTCATGACCTTAAACACTGTGTATAAATTTAAAGTCAATCGGATATTAACCTTAGCCTCTAGGGCGTCCACAAGATTTTTCAAAGTGATCAAGGGCCATAACTCTGGCAGTAATTATCGTAAATTGATGGAAAATCAATTGGCTTTTTCGTCTGATGACCTTAAGCACTGTGTATAAATTAAAAGTCAATCGGATATTAACTTTGGCCTCTAGAGCGTCCACAAGATTTTTTGAAGTGATCAAGGGCCATAACTCTGGCAGTAATTATCGGAAATCGCTGAAAATCAATAGGCTTCTTCGTCTCATGGCCTTAAACACTGTATATAAATTTAACGTCAATCGGATATTAACTTTAGCCTCTAGAGCGTCCACAAGATTTTTTGAAAAGATCAAGGGCCATAACTCTGGCAGTAATTATTGGAAATCGCTGAAAATCAATAGGCTTCTTTGCCTCATGACCTTAAACACTGTGTATAAATTTAAAGTCAATCAGATATTTATTTTGGCCTTTAGAGCGTCCACAAGATTTTTTGAAGTGATCAAGGGCCATAACTCTGGCAGTAATTATCGGAAATCGCTGAAAATCATTAGGCTTCTTTGCCTAATGACCTTAAACACTGTGTATAAATTTAAAGTCAATCGGATATTAACTTTAGCCTCTAGAGCGTCCACAAGATTTTTTGAAGTGATCAAGGGCCATAACTCTGGCAGTAATTATCGGAAATCGCTGAAAATCAATAGGCTTCTTCGTCTCATGGCCTTAAACACTGTATATAAATTTAACATCAATCGGATATTAACTTTAGCCTCTATTAACTTTAGCCACAATTGCTTGTGGACGGCGAACCGACGGACGGACGGACGGGGGCGACGATAATATACGACCACATTTCAATGTGGGCGTATAAAAATTAGATAATGTAAAGGCAATATGCTGAAAATGTCAGTCAAATTGCTCCACTCTGAATCGAGATATTAGCTTTTGAATTTTAGGCTAGCTTTGATCATCATTACTAAAGTCAGTACAATAGAAATAATGTCTCAATTACCAATTTTTACGTTTAACTATTTTCCAAAAAATATATTCCCATCCGCTAAATATCGGCATCGAGAGTTGATTATGGTCTGGATAAGTTAATTAATGTCTAATTAATAAATTAGATAACATTTCAGGCCTAAAGAAAGATCTGCAATAGGCAGATTTAGCTCTTGCATAATGTATGTTTAACTAGTTCATGAAGTTAATTTTTAACAGAAAGTAGGATTTTTCTAATAAAATGCTGGCTAACAATATATTAATCATTTAATCTATTACAGACTGTTAACCCGAGTTCTGCCATCTATAGTGTAAGCACACCTTGCAGAGCAACAATGCCTGATGTTCATGTCTAACTGGAGAAACTTTTCATTCAAAATGGCAGTTACATTTAAATCTGCATTACGTATAGGCCCTAGTGTGTTTGTCTTGAAGTATCTTGTTAGATATAATATTTTTGACAACATATATATTTTTCAAGGTATTTTGATTACATTTCTGATTGATTCTGATATATACATGTACTAAACTACACATGTAGTACACCATGAAAATTCTACCTACCAACATATTTATATCTGAAAGCTACTCGGTCATACAATAAACATGCACCATTTCTTTCACATTTTTTCTTCCATAATAAACAGGCTGTATCTATGATATTACCAAACATTATTGGCGTTGGCACATATGCTGAAAAGACAATAACACAGAAATGAACATTGCCAGACAAAACTAAAATCAAGTCATGATATTTTAACTTTTTTCATCGAACTCCACGAGTCACTTTAAATTTCTGCTTTCAGTTTTATATTGAAACTAACTTACCAAATAAGCGTAGAATAACAAATTGCATCCCCAATGAAAAAGCTCTTTCTTCTTGTTTTACTGACCTAGAACAATAAAATATAATCAATATTTGTTTCCAATTATTCTATAGTAGTGAGGGTGCTATGGCTAACTTTATTTCACATCCCTCTAGGATCAACTGAACTATATTTGTTTTGATTATCAAATGTCTAAATCAGTTTAAAAGATAGACAGCCAATTAGCCAACCATACACTCACAGCACTTAACTTAAAGGAGCTAAATCGCTAATATTTGGGACCTAGAAATTGACACAAATGAATCGTATCAGTTTTTACTCTAATTTCTAATCAGTTATGTTCGGCGAAATACACCAGAAGTCGCAATCGAATGGCAATCTCTAGCGTCTGGTTATTCCATTGTTTACCGATAGTATTAATTGCGCATGCTCTCCAGATAAGAATATGACTTCACCGTTTGACATGACTTGTGGAATACGTCTAGCCTCATTCTTCGAGTCCCTTGTTACAAATGACGCTGAAACGCATTATGGTACATGATTCGTGTACCAATGGTCTAATGTTTATTTTGTCTAAAATATTAGATATCAGAAGTACATCTTTTCCTGGTAAGATCACAACATCAATGTTGATTTAAATTGACAAATAATTCGAGTTTTCAATGTCGAAGACTTTGGATGATACTGAGTTAGAGACTTAGCTACCTTAAGTTGTACAAGCAGTCCATAGAGGGAACACTGACAAGACACTATAACTGACCAAGGGCCACATACCATGAAGTTATTATCAGAAAATAATTAAAATTTGATAGGCTTCAAGTTCTTCATAGAGATAACATTGACCTAAGTTCAAGTCAATTGTGTATTCACAATTTTTTTTTTAAGTGACCAAAGGCCGTAACTCAGACAGCAATTATGGCCAACTGATAAACTACACTATACAAGCACATTTAAGTGTATGTCTGAATACCGATATTTGAAACAGAGATGACTTTCCCCAAAACAACTAGAAAGATGCCAAAGGAATCAAATAATTTATAAATAACTGGAGAAAGTACCTCAGTGTAACCATTAGCAATGGCATCTGAGCACCGGCCACACAAAATGTCATAACAACCAACATGATGAGAAAAGGCAACAGATTTTCACAGGAAGTTTTACATGGTCCACTGGTTGCTATCGGTGACATAATTACTTCATGTCCATCTTTAAGCATGTTTTGACCCATAATACAGGCACATCCACTATAGTTCTGAAAGGTGACATAAAAGTAATCATTACTAAAATATTTAAGGGTTGAATTAAAGATACATTATGGGAGATAAGATAAAGAGATGGCAGTTCTCGCTATAATAGTTAAAAACTAGATAGTGTAAAGGTAATTTGCTGAAAATTTCAGTCAAATTGATCCACTATGAGCCGAGAAAGAAGCGGGTGAAATTTTTGCATAGTCTCGGTCATCATTACTAAAATCATTAATATAAACAGCATAGTCTCGATTATCCACTTTTTCTGATTTAATTATCAACGGCATATAGGAATCTAATCCAGCCAACATCGAAGGCTAGCCTTGACATCGAGAGTTTATTATGGTCTAGAATAAGTTAATTAATGTCTAATTGATAATTTAGATAACATTTCAGGCCTAAAGAAAGACTTGTAATAAGCAGATTTTGCTCTTGCATAATGCATGTTTAAGTAAAGAAGAATCACCCCACACATAACATCAAGAGAAAACTAACCCACAGACAAGTAAACAGACCTTCACAGTAAGTGGATCACATTGAAATTTTTAATCTCTTAAAATTAGTATTGGTACATATCAATAATTTGATTACTGCTTCCTCTGTGGTGATTTTTGGATCATTCGTAGTATAGAATATAGAAGGTCCTTTTATAGAAAAATACAATATACTTACAAACATGCGTTCCTGTGATTCTGGTGACATGAAACCAAATGATCCGGTACAGCCAGCATGACATGGTGAGAAGTATGTTATACCATTTATACCACAGATAGGCTCTAACACAGTATTTGAACAGTCACAATTCTCATTACATGTTGAAGTTAAATTAGCTTCAAATATTTTATGACCAGAGCTGAAACATTGTCATTTGCACAATAAATTCTGTTTACTACAATATTATAATATACTGACACAATTTTAAATAGACAAGAGTTATATCAGTTTCTGCTGGGAAAAGAATATTTATGTAAGAAACAATCTTTGATGATTACTTTGAATTTGAGAAAATAACTTGACTGTGAAAGGGCCCATATTGCTGAGAAAATTTTTTGAATACATCCAAAATTATGTTAATTGAAGTTTTGTGTCAAACTATACATGATCAGTCCTGAGTTTGTAGCCTACATAAGGAAGAAACGGTTAATCGCTGCCGATCATTTTGATCACAAATAAAAGTTCTGAATAAAAACAAAAGTTGACAAACCTGTTAAAATAAGGTAATGTAGCACCGGCTATTTTAAGGTTTTCACAACCCAAGAAGAAAAAGAAGGTAAAACCAAATAATGCTAGTACATTTAATGCCAGAGCTAGCTGAATTGCACCTGTAAAATAAATAGATTTTAATATTTATTTAAATCCAACTATATTCTTTATACATGTGTGTACAGATAGGAATTTTTTTTATCTAGTTTTGGTTATAATTTGGCTATAAGACTTGGTTAGTTTGACAATCTTCTCTTAAATCAGCTTCCAAGGTTAATGATAACCCATGGTTTTCTATCATTATTTAATTTTCATTTCACAAAAGAAACTTGGTCATTTTGAGACTAATGGTTCCATCTTATTTCAATAATTTGCTTGCACGCAGGGGTCTTTAGATGTGGGGGGGGGGGGGGAGGTGGATGGGGGGGGGGGGGAACTGGAGCACCCGGAGAAAACCCACTGACATTAATATACTAGCAGTGATATCTTACGTACATATACACATTATAAAGTATTTCATTGGCCACATGGCAGTGATATCTTACATTCATATACACATTATAAAGTATTTCATTCGACACGTACAGTAAATGTATGCTAGAGAGTGATGAAAAGAATATATTACCTTTTGGACGTAACTGAAATCGTTTTAATATATATCCTCCTATAAGAATACCAACGACAGCACCAGGTATACCTATTCCTCCTGTAATACAGACATAAATGGAGTTACTTCCCTTTACATATTCAATATTGAATAATATTATTAATTTGTACCTCAAACAATTTGGTTGTGATCATTAAAAGCACAATGTAGTAAATAAAGCTCCCTTTGTGGACACTTGTTTAGAAATCGCAAAACCATGCCATGTAAATAAAAGTAATTAAATTGAAAAATAACATATACTCTTCCAAAAAAAGTAGGGGATATTCAGAAACAATACAAAACTGCGGAAATGCACTGCTGCTTTTATTAGAGGTAACCAGTGTATGTTAATAACAGACCAATTGCCTACACATGAACATAAACAGTTCATATGGGCGGCTCATCTGACGGCCCCATTACACTCGCAAAGAGATACACCGTCAAAAGTGAAAATGGACGTTTTTGATTTTTGTCTTAATAATGAGTAATTGCTCCACCAATCCTCAGACATTCAGCAATTCGTCATGGCATGCTGCTAATCAACCATCCAATCACGATTTGGTGCGATCTGACCCACTCCTCTTGCACTGCCACGGCCAATTCTTGCAGTGTTGTTGGTTGACGTCGACGAACACGTCTCCCGAAAAAATTCAACGCAACACACTAAAGCAAAGATATGCTAAACAGTAAATCTTATGCAAGAACCGGTAGGAAAGCAAACGTGGATAGATAAACCAGCACACAGCAGTTTTCATCAACCCTCCCTTGAAATGTCAAACTTGACAATAGACCCCTCCCACGTGTATGGCCATATTGCGTGTCGCATGTGCAGCTCAGTGGTTCTGTTGGGGCGATAAGGTCTTCATCTGTGAACATACTCTCAAAGCATGTCAAATGTCTATGACTATCATATCACAACCTGCATAGGTATTTGCATTTCAATATCCCCTACTTTTTTTGAAGAGTATATTTACTGATCATTTAAATAGGTTTATGTACATGTAAATGGACCATTTCTTGTGTCATTCAAGGGGAAGGACCAATGCACATGCAAAGCAGTGTATCTCTGGTATGTCCGGTTCTACCATGGAACAGACTTTACGCCCCACAGCACCATGTTACACTACTAGCTATAGCCCACGCCAATTCAGCACTAATAGTTGAAACAAAGTGTGAAAAAAATCCTGGATTTTGAATCTGGAACATTCTTTAAAATATTTACATTATAACATCATATGGTTGATACATTTTACAGTGAAAACAAACATCTGATAGTTACATATGTACAGGTGTCATCTTGATCATAACTATGTTTACTTTTCCCCTTAGCAATGGAGTTTGATTATGTAACTTTTTTAAAGAATTTTCACCAGAAATTCTAAACAAATATATGATATTGTATATGACCCAGCAATATTCATGTAATAATACTAATAATAGTTTTTCCAAAAACTATGGGTGATAATTTTTAACCTACATGCTTGACATTTTCACCAGAAATTCTTATCAAAATGATATTGATATTTATATGATCCACTGATATAAAGATAGTTATTATTTGTGAATATTATGGGTGATAATTATATTATGTTTACATAATAAACATCATTTGTAATTAGTAATGTGTATTATAAGCTCCCTTACATCAATTACAGATAATATTTGCCTTCATAATATGATTACGTGGGTGTAATTAAGTCAACAAGTATATGGTACTAGAATAATATATATACTTGAACTAATGACTATACTTAGACAATATGCTAATCTAAATACATAAATACAAGTGCCTTAATGTACACATGTTTAGATTTTGTATCAGTCAATAATAAATCCATTATGTGTATCAGTCAATAATATTCTCTAACATTAACATATAATTTACATTAAGTAATAATTATATCATCATGTTAACTGAAGTAAAGTGTACTTAACATTGAGATAGACCTGGAAATAATTTGAAATTAATCTGACCAAAAACAATGGCAGACATACTGATTTCCCTCTGATCAACTTATACATCAACTTTGAACATCACAAGTTTTTTTTTATCATACATGTATATGCAATTTTGTCGGATAATTGACTTGAAATATTTACCTGTAAATAAATTAGCAACTGATGTAGATGTTCCAAACTGTGTTTCAATATATTTTGGTAGGAAAACAACGAAACCACTGACGATGGCAATTTCACAGCAAATACCCAAACTGGTGATAATATATACAGGATTCTTCAGTAATCTTAATATAGAACGAGGAATATCTGAAATTATACAAAATAAAATGTAAACAAATATTCTATAATAATAACAACCCTTCATCAAACTCTAGAACAGTTAACATGTGGCTGTAGATAAAGTCAGTGGATGGAAGACAAAAACAAATTTCTGATTATTTTATTTACACTGGCAGTTTCTCATGTAAAAGCACAGCATGGCTGAAATTAATTTATTGTTAATATAATATTTCGGTCTCATATGTGCAATAACAATCAAGCTTGTAAAGTTTCAAGTCATTCACAATGTTTGCATACAATCGTTTTTCAGACTTGCATTTTGTAAATGATTTTTGTTCTTAAATAAAAACAGTAAAAGGATTTTGCGCCCCTTGTCTTGCAATAGAACATGTGTGTATGCTTCCATGTAATTTAAATTGTAAAGATTCTATCCTTACTCAATTCATGGAGTAATTCTGTCTTTAAAGCCCTGGTCAAAATAAACCAGAGAGCCCCCACCAGCCCCTGGTCCAATTTAATCAAAATTGAATTTCAATTTCAATACATTTTTCAATTTCTAATTTTTATACTACACTGCAGCACATGTACATGTACATGTAGCCTGCTTCAAAGACAATGTCAATAGAATAAAATGTTTTGTAGATTTTTGCACCAAATGACTTTAAAACCAAAAATTTGCTCCTCTATTATTACAGTTGGAGATGTGGATCTTTTCGTTGAGTGTAAGTACATGTACCTTTATTTTGTACTGTGAAGTCAAACAATGTCAATACAGGACAAATACCTCACAAGATTTTTTCCACTATAAAAACTCAGACAAGTATTTCTAAAGACCATGTTTACTCAAAGCTCAAAAATCCATAGAATGCAATTAGTCTTTCTATTGTCAAAAACACTTCAAAGTCTTGTCATTTTATTAAAAGAAAACATCTCCTTCTGCAGACTAATTCAAATCTTCAGTAAAGAATGAACCTGCAAAGCACATCTTGGTGAAACCTGTCTAAGCGCCTGCTTTAGAACCATCAATAACCCATTTTAAAGAAATCAATTTCACATCAATAACCAACCGAAATTTTATTCTTCAATCCTTATAAAAACCTTGGTATTTTCACAACTGTGGTGATTAAATATTGTAATATAATTTACTGGCTTAAGAAAACCAACTTTATTTATAGTAATTTATTTCTTGGTACAATGTTCTGGGGGATTTTGTTTTTGATTAAAGGAGCTGTTCCAATTCCCAGATGTGGCATTTTGATAAAATTGTGATTACATATACATGTACTGTATACAGTAGAATCTGTATGAGCAGCCACCCACTTTCAGAGACCCCCCCCCCTCCACCATTTTGAACAAAACCCTCAAACATGTAAAGAACTAGTGTACACTATATTGATCTTGCATCTCAGTTTATTTAGCCATTCGGTAATCGGTAATGAGTGTCAGTATTGCTCAAGCAGGTTTTTCCACTCTAACACTGTAACTATTAGTCTCCATTGTGAGGAGGGGGGTTGGATGGCCGAATGGTTAGCACGTGCGTGCTGTATCATAAGGTCTGTCATTGACTTGAGTGAACTGGTGTGGTGGTTTTGATTCCCCGGTTGTACGTGACAAGGAGTAGGGTCGCCTGTCCAACCTAGTTAGTTTTCTCCAGGTTCCTAGTTTCCTTCAACTACTAAATACCCCTACGCACAAGTGAATTATTGAAATAAAATTAAACCATGTCTTAGTCATGAAATGATCCAGTTTGTGTCGAGTGGACGTTAAACCCCAATTTTTTTCTCTCCATTGTGAGACCCGATAAATGAGACTACTAAGTACTCTTCTTGTCCTCTGCAATGATAATCTTATGCTTACGTAATCAGTATTTTGTGGCAGTAAACTGATGCATTGTGTGCTAATCTCACAAACACAAAAGATCGGTTGCCAGGCAACGAAACATACGCCCACAGCAGCTAAATCGTCCGGGCTGTCAACAAAAGTTGTCGCATATTTTTACTTTTTTCGGTAATGAAACATTTATAATGCACTAAAATCTGATTAAGAGTAATAACTCATTAAGTAATTATCAGAAAATCATTAGAATTTGTTTTGCTTTTATAAAGTTCTGCCCCATGCTAACGTTTAATATACGAAACATTTAATATCAACAATTTAGCTGTTCAAGTTATCAAAATTCATTGAAAATCAATATACTTGTTTGTCTAAAGACCTTATCAATCGAAAGTCAATCGGATGACAACTTTAGCCTCTAGCGCGTCCCCAAGATTTTTTTAAGTCATGAAGGGCCATAACTTTGGCAGTTATTATCAGAAATCGCTGAAAATCATTAGGTTTCTTCTTCTCATGACCTTTTTTAAACACTGTGTATAAATTTAAAAGTCAAAGGGATATTAACTTAGTATCCACAAACAATTGTGGACGCCGGCGGCGCGATATACAACCACATTTCAATGTGGGCATATAAAAAACAAACAAAATGCTTTTATTGTCATATGTGTACATGCATAAAAGTTTTCTCTTGTAAGTTAACACCAACCTGCTACATCATGTGTCATGTACTAGTAAGGTAATGTGTATTCATGTAGGAACACCTGATACATGATTAGGTCCATTTTTCTAAGAGTTGTCATGTAGCAGATTAAACCAGGAATCTTAACTTACATATATGTACATGTACAAAGCCACAAAGGTATTATAATACATACCAATTTATAATACTACAATACCAATTTTATTTACACATCCTGGTCTATATTTAGAACTTAACCTGTTGGTCAATGTTCATGTACATGTACATGTAAATACATGTATGACAGACAAGGCAAAAGATTGTTTCCTATTTATCTGATTAACTATATTTGTAGAGGACATCAAAGGTTCATGACCTTAGAAGTCTCTAAATGCTAGTCAAAAGACAGAAAATTAGAAGAAAATAAATGGCACTATACAAAGTAATCAAAGCATTTTCCAATTTTCTCCTCCAAATTGCAATCTAATTGGAAATCAAATAGTAACTTTTTGCTAATCCTGCAGTAAAACTGTCTCAAGATGTCCATCAACTTTAGCTTGGTCATTCTGTATTGATTATTTGTGCTAACTATTTTGCCTAAAGTCTATTACATTTGTATTCATAAAAGGGAAATAATCAAATTCAGGGGCAAATAACTACCGGTAATGGTGAGAATTGAAAGATCTATGGCATGTCCTTTTCTCTGTTTGGTCAAGAAATCTTTACTTGCCTGTTTTCTAGGACAACTGTAATTTGTAGCAAGAACGTTAGGATCACAAGGTTATCATGGCGTGGGGATGAAATCATTTCATGGTTGTAGGCTTAGCCTAAGTTTAATGTTAAATGTTATTTTTGAAATAAATCTACCATTTTACAAGTACATATACCTGTGACTATATCTATAATATATCCAAAATACCAAAAATACATGTATAATATTTATTGTCATATTCAATATGTGGCAAGTAACAGTGATTTGAATTTCAGATAAACTACATAGTGTATTCTAAAACATGTCACTTTTGGTATTTAATCATGTCCCTAGACACCAGTCACACACTAACTCCAATTGTCTTTGATGTTTACTACATGTAAGTATAAGACATCTCTGATGTGGATAAAGTATTCAAATGGCTGCCATTTTACTGGTTGATGAATAGAATTCTATTGTTATTATATTTTCCTTGACTGTTACAAGCATCATATTTTCAGATCAAAATATGTTTTGGAATTTAAATTAGTTTCCAAATTAACCTTGTGGAGTGGAAAACTTGGTCTCGACCCCGTTGTCACAGATTTCTATGATACAATATTATACATGTACATTTAGCCTATAGACAACCATCAGTTCAGTTTTTGTGTAAGAGTCTAATTTTTTTTGTACATTATGATTGATGTTACTGACATCAGTACTTTGAACATGTGGGCCATAAATTAAGTTAATATTGATCGAGATGTTTGTTTTGGTAAGAGTATATTGATTGCATATGGTCTTAAATCTGGACATCAGTTCGAAAATATAAAAGCAGACTGAAATGGAGGAGCAGGATTATTTGAGTACAAAAAAAAAAATGATAAAATTATCAATACCATGCAACTTTTTATTGTATTATTGGCAATTTGTTTTCCTCACACTTATATGTACATGTACAATGTGTATATGTATATCTGATGCATGGTTCAACTGTGATGGGCCTCGTTTTACTATTACTCTAGTTTGGGGTACCCCTGGTCCCCATGTCCAATTTGATGAATGAACATGTATAGCACCATCTGGTATCCTGTTATAGCTAGACTAGGAGTTAAGTACACATAAAAGCGTACAAGTTATTTGGAATAAATCCCAATTCTTTTATTTCCTGCAAATATCAAGACAGCGTCTTTAAAGTTGATATGGTTATTGTTGTTCTTGGCCTAATGCCATGAATTGTGGCCAGTCTAATAACCTAGAGGTTACGACCTTAAGAAACCACAAACACAATCTACCAGAAGCCGATGAACTTCAAACATTGTGTATATTATATGAATGAAGATTAAAGTGGCATCTGTCATCCCTTTGTTCTAGAGACCAGATGGTTCTATTTGTCTTTACCTCCCACCACCCTCTCTTTATAAATCACATCTTACTGACTGATGACTAAATTAAGAATTTAGTTATCAAAGTAAAACACTGACAATTATTGGTGTGTTTCATGCCCTATCAATTTATCTATATTTGTCAATTTCAACTTCTTTTAATTAAGTCTACAAGGATTAAACACTTTACAGTCATATTTTGGGGGGAGTTTGTACCATTTTTGTGCATAAAATCATATAATCTTTCTGTCTTATTTTTTCGTCATTTAATCCTCTTCATCTTAGGACACATTCAATAATGCCCCGATTGTACTTGGTGGACTCCAGATCCACTTATATGTACAATATAACTGTCTGAATCAAAACCTGCGATATCACCTCTGTGGAAGCGGATGTAAAATACAACTAACTCACACACCTGTGATACAGAAAATCTGACTACATGTATTTAATCAAGACCAAAGTATCATTATGCAGTCATCACAGGTATAGAAAATGCATTTCTTAAACATGCCTTTAGATGTTAATAATGGAGTGAACTGTCAATTAAACACAAGTAACATGTAGATTGCAAACTCAAATTGCTCAACATTGCTGTAAAAGACATTAAGTAAACTGTGTACATAGGTGCTGATAAGTTCTACAAAGGGCATTCTCAGTGTACATGTACTTTATGGAATACAATTATTACGTAACATGTTAAATTCTAATAGTAACATTTGTCCTTGTTCTGTGCAACTGAAGCTCAGTTAAATATTTTTAGAAGAAATAGAAACTTTCAGTCCCCAGATTCTACACTAACATTGTCTGTATGCTCCTAAATATCAGATTAGCATGTAATCTCAAATACAAACAGAGCCATTTAAAACAAAATGATATGAATTTCTCTCCAACATAGTATTTTAAAAGATTACATTGGCATAGAAATAATATGATTGAAAACTGTTGATTAAGCTCCTCGACATGATGAAACATGTAGAAAATACGTGTACAAGTATGATAAAATGCTTAGTCAGGTTATTTGCTGTAATGAGTATCGACAAGGTAAATAGAAAGAAAGGATTCCCCAAGAAATCAATGATGATGTATTCAAGACAGGTTGAATCATATGATGGTCTAGTGAGTTGGCTATAAATCACTAACAAACAAGGGCGAAAGTGAATATGTCTCTTGCATCATTAGGACATCAATAAGAGACATAAGAATGGTTGTATTGATGATATTCAAGAGACATTCCAGTGATTCCACAGAGAATATAATATTATGGCCTGACTTTCTGACAGCTACATGTATAATTTCCATCATATTCATAATATCAAAGTAGTAATACCAGACAAATGTACCATTTGCCACTACATGTACATGTTATATTTAAATCTAAAAGCTTAAACATACATTATGCAAGAGCTAAATCTGCCTATTGCAGATCTTTTTGGGGGCCTGAAATGTTATACAATGTATAAACTATTAATTAGACATTTATTAACATGAAAAGACCTTAATCAACTCACGATGTCATTTTATGTGTCAGATATTAACTGGATTTGAATCCGATTTGCTGCTCAACGCTCATTGATGATTTAATCCAAAAATGAATAATCGAGAGTACATGTATGTTTTTTATCGTACCGATTTTAGTAATGATGATCGAGACTAGGCCCAGAATTCAAACGCTAATATCTCGGTTCAGAGTGGAGCAATTTGACTGAAATTTTCAGCATATTCCCTCTACATTATCTAGTTTTTTAACTATTATAGTAAGAACTGTCCACTCTTTATCTAATCTTCCATAATGCCCCTTTAAAGAGTTAAATTTTGTAGTATTTGGCGGTAACAGCAATTTGTGTACAACCTTTTTGTGCATGTCTTTCAGGAGAGACCAGCAAGGCTGGAAACAAGGCACATGTCAATCAAAATATCTGGCTTTTTTTTAGGTAAAAATATTTCTCCTCTATTAATTTACTGATATTTTTAATGCAGGTCTCAAACTTATTAAAATCATGTCAATTACATTTGATTTTTTTATGATGTTGTTCAACATTGAGATATGACGTTTTTTTTTTTAAGTTGGTTTTCAGAACACATATATGACCATACTGACCAAACATCATGTTTTGGTATACAAGGCCGTAACAAGAGGTGAACTTCCAGGTCATTTCTGTGATGTTTGTTTTAGGTTTGTACAATAAAAATGCACCTTTGTAAATTCTATAGAAACAACAAGTTATTTTGCAACAATTACATGTAACCAACATCAAATACATGTACATGTACAAATTTTTGTTCAAGTAGCCTACTTCTAAAATTGACTGTTCTTGAAAGTTTGTAATTTTCTTTAACAGGCAAACTAACAATTCATTCTGAGAGCTGAAAAAATCAATGAAACGCAAGATTTGAAGTAAAGATATTCGGGAATTTAACCACTCAATCACTCTTCTTAATATTTATCCATGACTTAACCGACTTGAACCCGGTAATTCACAACAGAATGTGCAGAATCTTGATGCATGCAAATAATTCCTGTAGTAATCAATCTGGAATCAACCAGAAATTGATAAACAGGTTTCATGGAACCACCAAGATGGCCAATCTCCCTTTAAATTAATTGATTAAGTGAAGAAACTCTGAATCAAGAAAGTGCATTGATTTTTCGCAGTAGCGATGTGTTCGATTCTGACACAAATGAAACGTAAATAAAGTTTAAGAGCCAGTTTAGATAACAAGTGTTGTGTTTCTGTCATTAAGAACTCATTAGCTGATCAAAATTCTTATCTGCAATGTTTTCCTTTGTCATCAACCGGATCTTGAGTAAAAAGCTAATAGAAATTTTGTTTTGATAAAGGTTGTGTGGTGTAGAATAATTCCATACAATTACAATACATGTATATGTAGATAGAAATTTAAGAAATCAAACCAATGTTTTCCAAGGCCCTAACATTATGCTTACCCATAAATTTAAGGGTAACAAAATCAGCTTTTTTGCTTACAAAGGACCACAGCCAACTTTAAAGGTGAAACCACTTTAATAGATCAAATTTACCAGCTTTAGTTGATCTGATGTATATTATTACAACTAGAATGACCAAATCTCAAAATATACTGAACATTGTACTTTAGACAGGAGGGGCTTTATAATTTGAAATAAGGGAAGTGTTATTAGAGTTCAAGTCTGGATGTGTTGGGCACATAGTAGGTTATGCACATGCTACAGTTCCATTGAATGTTCAACCATATTCAACTTTCTCTGTGTTCCTAATGTAATAGAACGATCATCAGTAGATCGTCAGCAGAGAATAAAATCTGCCAAAATAAAGCACTAACGTAACATGTAAACTGGGTTAATGTCCTATGTCAAATAGAGATGGAGCAAGCTCTATCTGAAAATACATTTGCTTCGATAGATTTAGCAGAAGTCGGTTTGCAGTGGATCACAAATCGATTATAAATGTATCTCAACACTGGCTTATCTATAGCCATAAAATTATTAACAAAGCCAGATGGTCATCCCACAAAAAAATAAATCAATGGATATCCACTGAAAATGGCATTTTTATTTCCAACCTAAATTAAAGAGATCTAGCCATTTCAAGCAAACCTCAATTACATGTATAGTATGTACATCATTCTTGATATGCAAGATGATCTAATCGCCTCTAATATTCAGTCAATCATCAATTTATGATCTCAGGAGAAATTCAATTGTGTAAGCAACATTAGACCTGTACATGTAGGATATTTCTTATGCTGCATTTTATTAATGTGTCCACAGAACCTCATTAAGACAATGCTGACGACCCCCCTCTCCCCCAATATGAATTTTGTTTTGTTATTATGATCATTGGATATATTTATTTCAAACAGTACCAACCTTTTATAGTTTTTCCATATTGGTTATTTTCTTCTTGGCAGTTTGAACTTAGTAAATCTTCTTTGGCTTTGTGTTCCAGCAATTTGCGTTTCTCGTTCACCAAAACTTTGGGAAAAGCGATGAAAGGTATTGACAACATTAAGATTACAAAACCGCAGATGATAAAACCACCCCACCAAGCTCCAATCCACCGGGGATGAGACGAGGTGATCGGAACGTCATACGTAAACGTGTCGACATAATATTGTAACATGAGAGCACCTAATGCATATCCAATGACTGGTCCCAAGGCTCCTGTGGCATAAATTACAGCTGATGAAAAAAAAAAGACAAAAATTATTTAATTTAAACACAGTTTAAACAATGAATCAAATACTGAATTTTACTGAAATGTAGTGCCGGTAAAGCCAGACATAAAATTAGCTGCTAATTTTTGTAAAAATTTGCTATTAAGCTTCACCAGACAGATAATTTGTACCTAAGTGAAAACCTGTACTGAATCCATTTCAATTAAGAAACAAATCTGACTGAAAGACCTCGGATTATTTACTTAACATTGACAGATTGTACATGTACATGTATAAGTGTCAGTGACATTTCATTGTGCTCTTTTTAATCTGTCAAACATTTTGTGAAAATCATCAAGTATTCATCTCAAATGTGTCATTCTGTAGTGCTAGTCAGGTTCTGTGATTCTTGATAATTTCTATAAGAATGCCATTTGCACATTTTTTTTGTGAATCAGTCATGGAGGTTTGAATGTAATTTTTTCTCTCCAAAACATTTGTTATCAACAACCTTTCAGTAATAAGAACTCACCTAAATACTGTGGTGCTTGGTCCTTTGTAACATGATTATCAATATAGGTTGTACCCAGGGTAAGTATGGGTGTACCACCAACTCCAATGAACACTTGAGCTGCTACCAATATTAACACATAAATCCAATTGCCAGAATTTTCATTAATGCATACTTCATATAGTCCTGATTTATCTTTTCCTGGTCCTCCGCGACAAATATTTATATCCGTAAAATTATGACCCTTTTGATTGTCAATGGTGTATTTTGGAGCGATGATATGAGGGAGAGCAAAGATAAAAGCTCCAATTCCCATGGTAATCACCCCGTATGCTATCCATTTCGGGATGTGTCTTCTACCGCCTAAATAACTGACAAAAATCACAGAAATAAGAGAACCTGTTTCATACGAAGCTATCACAATACCAGATACAGCACTCCCGATCTCAAATCGTTTCTCTATTGTCGTAATAACGCTATTTAAATATCCCGTAGATAATGCTCCGGTTACGATCAGTAATAAAGACATACATGCAACAAACACTCGAATATTGGCACATTTCTGAATACATCTGGGTCGGAGGTGTCCGATACCACATAGTCGACTTTCATCTGTGTCGAGTCCATCTGCTTCCAGACGACACTGAACACATTCTGCTTTTTCTGTTTTCCCACGTAGAAATGGTTTACTGCTACTCACCGAGTATCCACTGACGGAACTTTCGACACCGAGTGATCTCTGTCCGACGCTAACGTTACCCGGACTATCGAGATCACCCTTGACATAATACACAGGTGGTTCTATCTGCTGCATCCTTTAACACCACAGGTCAAAGGTTAACAAATCTTTTTTAGTTCTTTTTGATTTTCGCTCCATTTGATCACCACCTAAACCTCATTCCATATTACCAACTTCTATTCGACAACATCTTACAATTCCTGAAAAGATAAAATGGGTGAATTATTAAAATAGGATTTAAAATGCAATCTGTAAGTCTGTAGATTACTTGGACTTTAAAAGACAAACTTTGCAAGATTGTTGAACCATTACCATTTGTGGAACCGTAAATGCCAATGAAGATTTCTTCATCTTTATAGATTTGTACCGGTATGTTATTGAGTAGTGTACAAGCAACATGTATAAATAACAATAAGTGAAAAGCGGACATAATAATCTGTACATACTAAAATGTGACTTGAATAAAATATAATTATTAAACACATAAAATAAATTCCCACTATCATAACTTTTGACCATCATTTTCTACATGTTTTAAGTACAAGGTAAAAAAACCTCTTTTTTATTTCTTATTTTTTTTAAATGCATACCACTAATATCAATTCTCAAATATGTACTTACAATATAAGAATGAAAAACATTACAGGATGTTAACTGTTTATACCAAAAACCAACAGAAAACAAACAAAAGATTAACATGTAATCTTACCTCCCCAATAGACTGTTTTTTTTCTATAACTTAGTATAACATGAATTATTTTTTAATTATGACATGTCGAGTCATGTCTCTTCACATGATCTACTAAAAAGATATCACTTCAGATTTTTTCAGTTCACATGGATATCCACATAAATCCTATGACATCGGATAACAATACCAGCCTTGCTTTCAGGCAGACTCACACCTTTTAATAGGATGTTTCATTCGGATTCATATAGAGCTGCTGTGAAGGTATTCAAACACCTTCAATATAATGAACTCTTCCTCGTGTGATACAATGTAGCGGTTTAGGAAACAGTTAAAGGAGCTGCTAATCAGATATATTTTAGTACAAATAAAACTGATTAATTCAGTATCAATACTTCTAAGTTCTAATCCTTTTTAATACTAGTACCAGCGAACTACATGTATCTGAAGCTAAATTAAAGTGATACATGTATTTATTCAGAGAAAACAAATCTTTTATGTGTAGTTAACAACAATTGCTCTCACTAAGTGCACTCAAGCCACACAATACAATGAAGGACAAATTTAAATCCTAAATAAGGTTAATCCCTAAACAGAAGATGTGAGGAGGATCACCATTTCTGAAATCCAAATGGATAAATAATTTAAGGTGAAAATTCCTGACATTCTAATTCATAATTAGCTGTTTTTACAATTACATGTATGCATCTCACTTACATGAACTTCAGAACTTAAAATTCAAAACCTGCCAATGAAATAAACTGATATATATGTACAATGATACATGTATATCTTTCGGACTAATCAGAATTGAGAAATCTAGCTTCTGTCCAAAAGAAGCAAGACTAACAGAATCGGATGTCAAAGTTAATAGAGTGTGGTATATATACATGTATGTATGCCACACATTAAAACAAAATGAAATGGGGTTTAACATCGTACTCCTACTTGGCTAATGAAGACGGGCATACGCCATACAGTGTGCTATGAGGGAAATTTTGCCTGGGCAGCGGCACTATGACCTACTCTATGTATCAAATTCCAAATGCCAAGGGATCTTTTATGTGTACGTCCTGCACCGCTGAGGAAACCCTATCGGAAAATCACGATGAACTTTCTCGGCCAATGCAAGGATCGAACATGCGACATCCAGGCTAGTGTGTCAGCGTCTTACCCACTTAGCCACCATGGCTCCCGCCACACATTAAATATTTTCTACTTGAAATAACAAATTTGGATATAAATAACACATTTTGCAATTAATTCAATTCTTCATACTTGTCAACATCAACAACACTGTCTATAGGAGAGGGCTCCTTTAATGCACAATTCAGATCACATTTGTTTTTCCATGAGAGATTTATATAGACTGTAATATTATTTGCCCATAAGATCAAATAACCTGGCATCAATTTTCAGAACAATAATTAAACCTGACACTTCATTATCTCATCCTATAGACAAGAGGAAAATATCATTAACTAAACCTCATTAAGTGGTCAACCTAAACCAACAAACACCTTGTGTTAATCTAATAAAGAAATTTGTTCAGCCAGTAACCGATAGTTCAATAATTATTTGAGAGAGAGAGAGAAGAGAGCACACACACATACATGTAGGACTGTTATCAATAATATATAATTTTATAATAATTTGCATGCACTGTACCCAGGTGTCTTTAGAAGTGGAAGGAAAGCTAAATATCCAAGAAAATAAACTTGGCCAGACACGAAACATTATACACCATGTCATACAAAATCTTTATGTACTGACAGTAGAACTACATACCTGTAACGTGCTTGAGGTTCATTAATTTGGTATTATGTTTTTAACTTCCAGCCTTATCAGCAGGACTACATTAGATAAGAGCAAACATAAACAAGTGTGCACTATTAAACTGTTTTGATATAAAATGTTACATAAACCGGTATCTAAATTGGTCTAGATTATGCAATTTGTTTTATTGTTAGAAATTGTTAAGAGTTAATACCAGGGGCCAAATCACCACAAAACAAAACATTATGATACAAATTCAGACAGTGTACCTAAAAAGTATTTTGAGTAAAATTTCAATTTGATCACAAGACAAGAGGCATTCGACTTTCAATATGGCAATAAAAAATCCTTTAAAAAGAAATATAGTAATTGGATAGAGCAATAAATTATAACACCCACTTCTGGAAGAACCATTACTTATTTCATTTTGGCGATGTTTCTCAACGTTTTAAGCAACTGAAAGCCTTTAGAGAATACATGTACATTTGTACTCCTCAAAACATTACCGAAATAAAATTAGTAACTATTCTTTCATACTAGAAAATAAATGTAAAAATTTTAAATTTATAAGATGACAGATTCAAAATAACCTGAGACTTGGTTACTTGAAAATCCTTGAATTGGCATCCAATTTTGATGCTTTACAGCAGAGCATCGTTCACATGCATCTGCAGAACCTTTGAAATCCACAAAACACTGTAAATTACAGATGCGTATGACTGAATCTTATAATTTCTCAACAGACATGTCACATTTTGCATGCAATCAAATTTAATACCCTCAATAAACATACAAACATATACCTGTATGTAACATAAATGGCTAGGCAAAAATATTTTAGTTCTTTTTTTTTTAGTACATGATGGTGTCAGGTCACTTCTCAACATCAAATTACAGTTTCCCTGTCACCACTGCAAGCACTATCAAATGACAAGATACACTTTCTTTATTTAAAGCTACATATAATAATAATTATTGTCCAGTTCTTTCAACTACATGATCAATACAGGTTATGATCTGCTGACAAATTACAGAAATACAGGGAAACTGAGTTAATTAATTGGTTGATTATCAGTACTTGTTCCTTGACTGACAGAAATACCTCCTCTTTATAAACCCTAAACCCTTAGGGAATGTCTTATTGATAGGTTTCCGTAGTAACTCAAACTATCAATCAATAATATCTGTGACGTGATTGATCGAATTGTTTGAAATTTAGGCTAAATGTGTGAAATCAGCCATCCTTGTTTCACTAGCCAACAACACTGATGGCCGTTAAAACAGTTACGAAAACAACTTAATAAATAATGATTGAATTGGTAATTCGACTGTCGTGTTGGCGGTAATAGAATGTCATTGATGTAATGTCAACATAGGTTATTATGGATTTGTGTCAACTGAGAATCAATGAGACTAGGAGTTTTTATTGCAAAGCTTTTACATAAAAAAAATATGTAGAAATGATTTGCTTCCATAGTAGTATAATGTAGGTTTAAACCAAATAATCAATAAAATTTGAATAAAATTAATCCTGTCATTTCTAAATCACCCTTTAAATTAAGCTGTGCCAGACTGATACAAAACATTATATTCAAACCAATTGTTGTTACTGGCAACAAACATGTATACAATAACAAATAATGTACACATAATTTAACAGTATCATATGTCTGCAAAAGAAAACAAATCATTTTTTCTTTGCAGAATTGTCTGTCTAACTGAGCAAATCAAGATGTATGATTATTGATTTTAATCCATTTGATCCAATTAATAATAATATCTTTCAATAACATTTAGCAGTAGAGGTATAATATTCATAATAATAACACAACTTTATGGATTTTCTACTTGTTAGTTTATTACATGCAACGTTTCAGTACTCTTACAAGTATCTTCATCAAGCAATTAATAATAGAAAAGAAATGACCTGCAGTGTACTATTGCAGCACCAACAGGTTTAATGAAGACAGACACACACCATGCAGTGTCCTGTGAGGAAATTTGATCTAGCCAGCAACATTTATGTCTGCTCTGTCAAAGGTGATTTTACGTGCATGCCAGTGTACATGCCTGCGCATACACAGACAGACCTCAGTTTGTCCCATTCACATGACAAGGCCTTTTTTCTTTTTGTCATTTCCCCCAATCTGCACAACTGACAAGGAGGAAAATCACCGGTATAAAACCCTGTGGAATGGTTAAGACAGTTTGCACCATACGTTGACAGACCACCATTAATTTCCCCATTGAGTTTAATGTTAATTCGGGCCTCTTTGCCTACCTCCAACTTTTCCCAAAATTTTCGTTGGGCTGAATGCTTTTCACTACAGAGAAACAAATGGTCATGTCTTTGCACTAAAATTTGTATGAGTATACTTCGCCTCAAAATCATGAATATTTACCAGAACCTGGCAGAAAATGTTAATTCAAACCCTCTTCGTCCATTCTAGACCAAAAAATCAACAACCAGCGGCTGCCAGGCAGGATACGCCCACATTTTCGAGAGATGGATAGAGAACAAGCTAACAAGAAAGTGATTTTTCCTACAATCAAGGGCCATAATTCAGGAAATTCGATATGCGCATAATATCGAAAGGAACTGAACGAACGGCAGCCATTTTGTCTGTCAATTTTGGGCCGATTTTCACGAAATTCAAACTCAGTCGTCCTCAGGGTGTAACGGTGATATAATAATACGGTTTTTTAAATCGGATAAAAATTATGACCTCTATAGGA